CACGCATGCTGCATTTACGATAAGTGCTGAAATAATGAAGTATTGATATTGATTAATTGTGATGCAAAAATATTTTCCTCTTACCTTATATATATATATATTGTATATATATATATATATACGTATAATATAAGATATAAGAGTAACTACCTGCGAATTCTGGCACGTAATGTAAAGCTCTCTCTTTTCGTAAGCACCTCTATCGACCTTTTAATACTATGATGGTCCTTTCAACTGAACAACGTGCTTTTACATAAGCATCCGTGTATGATGCACCTGGAGATCCTGGTTCTTGATTCCGTTTTGGTGTCATCAGATATGGCAATAACGGATAACCAGAATCACCTATAAGTAAAAAAATTTTAATGTAATATGTAATAATGTAAACCTTGATGAAATTAAAATTTTGAGATTATGAAATAGATATAATTTGTATATGTACTTAAAAGCCATACATTTCTTCTTCCTTTTTAATATTTTTTTAACATATATCTCGATAATTGTGATGAACTCCATACTCTAGCATCGTGAGTTCGATCACCATGACTTGCTAGTATTGCCAATATGTTTCCATAATAATCGCTGACCTAAAACAAAATCAGTAATTGCACATAATTTGAAAAATTATTTTATTTTTTTTATTATTATATAAAAGTAGATTAATATGTCTATTATTAAATTGTCACTTACAATTATAACATTCAATGAGTGATACAATTTTCTATTTATGTAGAGATGTTCTCTATTTTTGTCAGGGGGCCAAATTGCCACATGTGTCCCATCTACAGCTCCTATAACGCCTGGGAAATTGGTATTAATCCAGTACCTAAAAAACATTGCTAGATGTTAATTTTATATTAAATTTAAAATCATTAGATTTTTAGTCTTCCTTTTTTTGTCTCTTACTTGTATTATGTGAACTATTATTTATTTTATATAAAAAATAACAAAATAATAATTAATTCTTACTGTTCCTGAATGACACGAATATGATCAGGCTGTACTGGAAATTTTATCCATTGTGGCATTATTATGTTGATTGCATTTACAATCAAATTAATTGTCCCACTCATAGAGGATTGAGACATACAACTGAAAAAGTCTTGCCCAGCTTTTCTTTGATATGAGCCTGAACTTAAAAAGTGTAATGTTGCTAAAACCTAAAAAATTATAATAGAATAAAAATTAAAATGTTAGAAATATAATGTTATGTTAAAAATATTGATAACACATAACTTTAATTTATTACGTATGCATTTAATACAATCATTTATGTATTCATTATAATACAATATAAAGTTCATTTAATTTTACCTTTAATTCTAGTGGAATAGCAGTCTCTCTCCTAGCTTCTGGCACATGTGGTCGTAAATTTTCACACAATGCAAATGTAGCATCTTTTGAAAGCCTGCATGTTAAATATTCAATATAAAATATTAATGTTTAATAATACAAAATAAAATAAAAAGACTCAAACAAATTACATCCAAATAAAATAAAATAAATAAGGCCACTGGAGCTTATTGCAGTAAAAAATACGCAATTATATATTCATAGTTGACGAGATGGAATATATTACAGTATATATAATCATATATTTCAATTTATTTCGGATCCATTTCAATGGTATATACATTAAATAAAAAAATCAAACATTTAATGCAACGCAGTATCATTATTGATTTAAGATAAACAATGATACTGCATTGCGTTAAGTGTTTGTTCCTTTTGATGATTTAATGTATACATATATCATTGAAAAGGATCCAAATAAAATTGAAACGTATGATCCTGTATATATATTTCAAGATTTCATCTCGTTAACTATGTATGTATAACTGTGCATTGACGTTTACTGTGATAGCCTCTAATAAGCCCCTACTTATTTATTTTAATTTAAAGTTTAAATGTGTCATATTATTTATAATGTTTCATTATTTTTATATTTACAATTATAAAGTAATAACACATAATTATAACTAAATTAGTAATATAATTATGATTATAAATTGTGGACTAGATTTTCTCTTTATTTACGATATAACGCAATAAATTGTGATTCCTGTATTTCAAAGGGATTACTTGTGTCCCGTAACATTTTTCTTGTAATCCTTAATGAATTTCTGCGATTTTTCATCCTTTCTAATTGCAATACCCACCATACTGCAGCCATTATTAAAGTGAACAATTCTGTAAAAATAATATATAACATAATTTTTTTAAATTATTTATAAATATATTTATAAATATATACCAAACCTGCGAACAGGTAATATTATTTACCTCTGCAGGATTACTTCATGTTCAGCATTTATAAGTATGTCTGTCTTTACTCTGAAAAATATAAAGAAGTAGTTTCTTATTTATTTACATATTTACATTACACAGTATAATAATAATGTATTTTTGCAAGTAAAATGTATTATAAATTTTTTTTGTTTCTCTAATGGCACATATACATTTTTGTGTACAACACCAGTACAAGTCTTTTTTTAAAATAAATTAAGACAACTATCTATTTGAAAATAAAGCAAATACTTACGGCACTTTTACTTTTTTCTTTTCATTTGTAACACGCTTTTCTACAGTTCTATCTTCAGACGTTTTTTCTTACCGTTTTTTTTGGCAATAATAGTAATTTTGTAGGAATAGAACCCTTTTTCAGTCTTTGCATTAGTTTGGCAGGCACATTGTTTGATCGTGGCTTTGTCCATTCCATTTGAAAGCAATCTTCTTTGAAATGGAGATTGTATACGTGTGTTACAAATTATATTTTGACATATTTATTAATCTGGTCAAATAATATTATACATAAATACTAATATAAATTATTACATTACATCAACTTACCAGTGTCAATTTTTATGTTTGTTTCATTTCTTTGACAAGAATCAAGCCATTGCTGACGAATGTCAGTCTCCTTGGGGGGGAATCTAAAGAATTTCAAACTCTTTGTGCTCGTATGGTCTGTGCGGCTTGCACAATTTTTTATGCAGCACGTCGGCATGATTTCTGCAAGCAGAAGAAAATATATAATATGTAAATGAAAAGATTTGTAGAGAAAATTATTGTTATATTAAGTTCTTTTCATGCAAGATACTTACAATGTTTTTTTGCTGTCCTTTTACAATGTCTTTTCTTCTATGATGTTCTTTTTCACTGTTTTTTTAGAATATCGTTTTACTATCTTTTTAATGTTTTTTTACTGTTCTATCGGTCCTTGTTTCACCCACTTTACACAACACAACACAACACAGCACAACACAACACAACACTACATTACACAACACTACATTAACTACCGCTACACGACACTATAATACACACAACACTGCACACAATACTACACAATAGAACCCCAGGTAGAACAGCAAATCACAATAAAGTCAAAATGATATCAAAATGACGACAAAATGACGATTTTTGGTCATTTTATCATTTTGATGTCATTTTGACTTCATTGTGATTTTCTGTTCTACATTACACTTCACAATACTTCACTTCACTTCACTTCACTTCTCTTCACTTTACTATTTTAATAACTGTTTAGTGTTTATAACTTTTCCCGCTTTATTGCCCGAGAACGACAGCTAACAACAACAGCTGTTAGCAGCCATATTGCTTTTTAGCATTTGCGACCAACTCCTGATTGGTCCATAACTTTGGACGAGTGCGCATCCACGGGAATGTTACACCTATCTTATTACATCATGATTGCACGTAACAATGCTTTAGTCGTAATCGTAGGGCCGTAAGAAAATCCAATCACAGTCGATTATTCTCCTCGCGCTCGAAAAATAATCGAGTGTGATTGGTCTATTTTCTTACGGCCTTATGATTATGACTAAAACAATGTTACGTGCAATGGCCTGATCCGTAGTCACAAATTTCCGTCATGTTGGAATTTTAGAATTTACGCCAAGGAAAATAGTCGACATAACCTCACTTGTTCTAACCATATTAGGACCGCGTGTTCTATACTTGGCGGTCATTCTGACATTCGACATCACGACACCCATATCTGAAAAGAGGCAGGTACAAAATAACGGAAAAAGTCATCATGTGCAGTGATCACACGTACCCAACAAATTTTGTAATTGATGTTGATTTAACAATGGAAAATGACAAAATCGGTGATTTCGTCGATACATTAGACAAACTTATAATTACGTGTGTACAAAGTGTTGCGGCCCCAATTAAAATGTTATAATAAAATAAAAATAGCGTTAAGAAAGACCGAGAATAACAATAGGTAACGCGACCGCG